TATAGGAAATCAAATATTAATTATTTCAAAGTCTAGGAGTTTCTTGCTTATTGTAAAAAGACGAATCTCAAGAAAACCAAGTTAGGTCCTAGAGGTATCAAATGTACTTTTGTAAGATGCGCTCTAAATAGTAAGGCCTATAAGTTATTAAACCTTGAATCGGACGTAATAATATAATCAAGGAACGTGGAATTCTTCGAGAATGTATTAGTAGCAAAGATATCTCATAATAATGAAGATGTTTTGAATTCTAGGGTGCCACAAGAAGAGACGTCTACTAGAAATGTTAAAGGTGAACTTCGAAGAAGTAAGGGAACTAGAAACGAAAAAGGTTTAGGATTGGATGAAATAGATTCCAATTTATTTCTTTTTACTTAGTAGAGGGAGACATGAAGGATATTGTAAGAACAATCCCTTATGTTCTTCAAGTAGAAAGTAATCCTAAAACCTATAAGAAAGCAATGTCATCAAGAGATTGTACATTTTGGAAAGAGGCGATAAATAATAAAATAGATTCTATCATTTCAAATAATACTTGGAAAATAGTTGATTTATCGGAGGGTTCCAAAGCCATTAGTTGCAAGTGAGTGTTTAGAAAGAAGTACAATTCCGATGGAACACTCAACACCTACAAAGTTAGATTAGTAGCTAAGGGATATCGTCAAAAGGAAGGAATAGATTACTTTGACACATGCACCTGTGGCTATGATAACCTCGATAAGGATCTTGTTTGCACTAGCATCAATTTATGATTTACATGTTCATTAAATGGATGTCAAGATGACATTCTTAAATGGAGATCTCGAAGATGAGGTTTATATGGAACAACTAGAAGGCTGAAAAATGAACATAAAGTGTGCAAACTAATCGAATCTTTACATCGATCAAAACAAGCCCCTAAAAAGTAGCATGAGAAATTTGACTTTAAAATAATGTCAAATGTTTTTAGTCATAATTTTGTAGACAAATGGCTTTACACTAAAGTAAATGATAGTATAATTACTTTAATATGTCTATACGTTGATGATATGCGATCATCAGCAACAATATAGATGGGATCAAAGCAACGAAGAGGTTTCTGTCCTCCATGTTTAAAATGAAAGATCTTAGACAGGTGGATACTATCCTTGATATCAAAGTTATAAGAGATAGTGGGGGGGGGGGTTTACATTGAGTTAATCACATTATATTGAAAATGTAATAAATAAGTTCAAACACTTAAACGTCAAGGAGGCCAATACCCCGTTTGATCCAAGTATCAAACTGACAAAAAATGATTGAAGAACAATAGCTCTAATAGAATATGCAAGTGCAATTAGAAGTCTTATGTATGCGGCACAATGTACAAGACCTAATGTAGCATTTGCTATGAGTAAACTAAGTAGGTTTACTAGCAATCCAAGTTCCAAACATTGGAAGGCTATTGGGAGGGTTCTTAGTTACTTAAAGAACACCAACAACCTTGGACTACAATATGCAAAGTACCCTAAAATCTTGGAAGGATATACTGACACTAGTTGGATATCAAGTACGGGAGAAAATAAGTTCACTTCAGGTTGGGTATTTACTCTTGGAAGAGGTGTAGTTTCTTGGAAATCTAAGAAACAAACATGCATTACTCATTCAACAATGAAGTTGGAGTTTGTAGCATTGGTCGAAACTGAAAAAGAAGCTGAGTGGCTAAGAGATTTATTATATGAAATTCCTTTATATATCAATGATATTTCTTCAGTATCTATTTTATGTGATAGTCAAGCTACTCTCTCTCAAGCATACAACGAAGTGTATAATGAAAAATCTAGACACATGAGTCTAACACACTGGATAATTTCTCTTACACATGTTAAGTCTAGTAAAAATTTAGCTGATCCATTTACTAAACCTCCCATGAGATAATTAGTAAGATTGATATCAAGTAGGATGTGATTGAATCTCATCAAATGGATCTACCAATGATAGCAATTGTACCGAAAGTATACTAAACAAGTATAATTAAGTTTAAGGGATAATAACAAATTATTCGATAAGTGGATAGATTTCAACATTAGTAAATTATTAAACCCTATCTTTGGTAAATAGTGTTGGTTGTTACTCTTGAAGGGATGAGTTATAATTATTAAACTCATAATGATGATTAGTACGAGGTACAAGTATTTCTTAAAGTAACAAAGATACTAAAAGAATTTCACCTATGTGAATTTCGAGGTGGTGCCACCTCATTAGAGAGTTATAGTTTTTCTCTCTTTAAAAGTCCAATGAAAAAGGATAAGTGTAAGGTCATATTAGCACTAAGTGAGTTAGAGGAACTTGTGAAAATTTAATACTTATGTGTGTGATTTCATCGGCATTGTCACAAAGAATAACTGGTCAGCTTCATAGCTACTTGAAATTTCAATAATGCTTTATGAGATTTTACATTATGGTTAGATTCAAATAGAAAGATATCTAATTTTTATACATGAATGTTGATATTTGATTAACACTGATTTTAAACAAGTGGGAATTGTTATAATATTGTTGTTTAAAATTAAAGAAGATGAATTTAGATTGAAGTAGATGAAGTGGGAAAAATTGAGCCATAAAGATGGCTTATACGGTCGCATAAGCCTTTGAGACTTGCAATCGCATATGGATTTTCAGGAAACTAAAGGGGTCAAAAGCTATTACTATGTGACCGCATAGTTATAGCTTACGCGGTTGCATAGATATAAAATTCGATCGTTTGTTGGGTTTTTTGAATTTTTTGGTGGTTTTATTAATGAAACATTGCACCTCTTTGCTTTGAGTTGAAACCACTTCTTATGGATGATTGGAAATCTATAAATACTTGATGGTGTTCACCCCTAAACATATGAAAAATCATTCCATTATTCTCTCAAAAACTTAGAAGAAATTATCACATATTCAAACTTTCTTTTTCACTTGTTCACTTTGAAGATCATTTTTCGCTTTTGGTGTTCCTTTTTAAGCTTGATTATATCCTACATACTATTTGCCAAATTTAATCCGTAAAAGCATTTTTTAAGAAGGCAAATATCGTTTGAGGACAACAATAAATTTTTCGTGTTCAAGTCCTCTTCAATTTATATTCATTCATTTCTTCCCTTTTTGTTCTCTATTGCTGCATTTTTATAACAAGAAACTCAAAAAATAAAGAATAATCTTGAAAAAAAATTTTAATCTTTCACAATATCCACCCCCGAACAAGTAAAATCCCACATGACCATGATAACTGCAAGGAAAATTCAATGAATTTGCAATAAGTTGGAATTGGCGATGATTCGCTAAATTAATAATAATAAAAAAAATGATTGTAATGCAAAGATTTGAAGGTTAGGATATATTTAAATTCTCCACAGAAGGATAGGGACCTCCATTGCAATTTTTTTTTTTGTTTTTTGTTTTTTGGTTTTAACTGTGTGACTCTCAGTGAAACTATTATTACCTCTAGTGTTTAAATAGGTAAGAAAAGCTTTGACAAAGAAATTTTGCACATATTTACGTGACAATGGGTATAAAAAAGCGTTTGATTGAAAAAACAAATTGAAAAGTTAATGTCAAAATCAACAATTTAGTACTACAGGTACATAAGTACATAGAGGTGTCCATAATGTCA